CAAGTGTCTTCTATAGGGTGTGCAAGTTTCAACTTGCCACCTGGTCTGGAATCGGAATTACGAATTTTTGAATAGGAGCGAACAATTCAGTTAAAACTTCCATTTTTAGACTTGCGTTTTCAGACCGCGTAAAAATCCAATTTTAGCGCAATTTGAATAAAGTCTTCACAGTTTCGAGACTTAGGTGTCTTCTATAGGGTGTGCAAGTTTGAACGCGCCACCTTATCTGGAACGGGAATTACTAATTTTTGAATAATAGCAGGCCGTTGACTTAAACCTTCTATTTTTAGAGCTGCATTTGAAGAGCGCGCAAAAATCAGGTTTTAGAGCGATTCGAATGAAACTTTTAGTGTTTCGAGAGCCAAGTGTCTTCTAGAGGGTGTGCAAGTTTCAACTTGCCACCTGGTCTGGAATCGGAATTACGAATTTTTGAATACGAGCAAACAATTGAGTTAAAACTTCCATTTTTAGACTTGCGTTTTCAGAACGCGTAAAAATCCAATTTTAGCGCGATTTGAATAAAGTCTTCATAGTTTCGAGACTTAGGTGTCTTCTATAGGGTGTGCAAGTTTGAACGCGCCACCTTACCTGGAATGAAAATTACTAATTTTTGAATAATAGCAGGCCGTTGCCTTAAACCTTCTATTTTTAGAGCTGCATTTGAAGAGCGCGCAAAAATCAGGTTTTAGAACGATTCGAATGAAACTGCTACTGTTTCGAGAGCCAAGTGTTTTCTATAGGGTGTGCAAGTTTCAACTTGCCACCTAATCTGGAATCGGAATTACGAATTTTTAAATAGGAGCGAACAATTGAGTTAAAACTTCCATTTTTAGACTTGCGTTTTCAGACCGCGTAAAAATCCAATTTTAGCGCGATTTGAATAAAGTCTTCATAGTTTCGAGACTTAGGTGTCTTCTATAGGGTGTGCAAGTTGCAACGTGCCACCTTATCTGGAATGGGAATTACTAATTTTTGAATAATAGCAGGCCGTTGACTTAAACCTTCTATTTTTAGAGCTGCATTTGAAGAGCGCGCAAAAATCAGGTTTTAGAGCGATTCGAATGAAACTTTTAGTGTTTCGAGAGCCAAGTGTCTTCTAGAGGGTGTGCAAGTTTCAACTTGCCACCTGATCTGGAATCGGAGTTACGAATTTTTGAATAGGAGCGAACAATTGAGTTAAAACTTCCATTTTTAGACTTGCGTTTTCAGACTGCGTAAAAATCCAATTTTAGCGCGATTTTAATGAAATCTTCATAGTTTCGAGACTTAAGTGTCTTCTATAGGGTGTGCAAGTTTGAACGCGCCACCTTATCTGTAATGGGAATTACTAATTTTTGAAAAATAGCGGGCCGTTGACTTAAACCTTCCATTTTTAGAGCTGTATTTAATTAGTTGGCCAAAATTGACCAAGTTGGCCGAGGTTAAGGCGATTTTAATAAAACTTTCAGAATCTATGGAGTCGAAGCTTGGCTAAAGACAAGAGCAATTTTAAGCTGCTTCATGGTTTGGTTTGGAAA